AAAACTAGTTTTTTGAATTTAGAGTTTGCATTTGTTGCTTGTTCTCTTCTTGTTTGCTGCAATTATACTGTAGTAACTGTAATTTATAATTAGCATTTTATCAAATGAGCTGGAGACCAGAATTGCTGCTTGCAGCTTGGTTTGGCTCATTATTTCCAAATAGCTGAGCCCAGCTTTACCAAACTCTATAACACATTTCCTTTGACAAGATAATGTTTCTTAAGAAGAAGCGCATACCTTAGACTTTGATAAGTGGATCGAGAAACCAGACATTTCAATTGCTAAATTGAGGAAAGAATTATAATATTTCGTAAAATTAATTGCGAATAAAAATCCATTGTTTTTGTCGATAGCCAAAAACTGGTTTTTATTAGGATTTCTCCAATGGGATCCAGGCTGTTTTTTTAACCTGGGAAATCCCACAAATTTCTTAAAATTTCACTTTTTTCTTATTTTGTGTTAAAGTTGAGGAAATTTTACAAATAGAAAGTATAATTAACCCTTTTCTACCCAAAGATATTTTTCTTAACATAATTCTGCATGGTAGGTAGGTAGAATTTGTTCCTAACTTTGTTCGCCTTTCTTCGCTACATTGTTGTTGTGTTCAGCCGTTATTTTAGTGACAGCTTTATCACAATTCGTTAAATAAGATAAATTATAATCATTTATCTTTTTGCTAGTTGAAAAGCCTAACGGCATCGTTAACAGAAAGCCATTTCTACCGGAGAGAGAAATGGCTTTCTGTTCAATTATAGCGATCACTCATTCTCTTCGATTCTTATAACAGAAATGTCATCTAAAATGCAAAAGAGAGAATATCACATTATGATAGTTATTGGTTTGAAACATTGTACTAATCACACCCCTCATTTATAACATGCGCGGCTATACTATCTATATTTTGAATTAAATGAACCTGCCCTTGACATAGCCATCGCAGAAGTACAGTACGTTCAGGATCGATGTCAACAAGTTTATCTTCGAAGTCGTCATCATCAATAAGAAAGTCAGAGTAATCAATGCTATTTGAAGCATTAATAAGATAGTACGCTATATTTTAAAACTGGTACTGTATTTCTTTTCTCGCTGGTTATATTTTTCCTCAAGGAATGCAAAGGCGGACATTGTAATTCCGTCGTTGAAGACGCGGAAATACTTTTAACGCTGTTTCTTTTTTCTTTTTATATATAAGCCTTTCTGTAGTATTTAACGAATTCAGACAAAAAGATTCCATCGAAATACTGTGGCTGCTTATTATGTTTTTCAAGAAAAGAGCTTTGTCCTTCGACATCAATGAGGCTGAGCAATCACGATCAATCGAAATTACTACAAAGTTCTTGAGACCCTGAACAAAAGACAACCCATTAACAAATGAGCGACTTCTTGTGCTCTTTCAGAAACAGAAGACACCAATAATTTATCAGAGAATTTTGCAATTTTCTTAAAAAGCTCCGCATATGATTGTGACAGCTTTTCACATTTAGACGCATATTTTCGATAAAGTTTAAAACAGCGTTTTTAGAAACCGCTGGAGTGAAATGTGAGAGATCTACCCATCTAGCAAGGTCTATATAGACCTTGCCATCTAGCATAGNAGTTCATACCTACCGGTCTTATTGTTTTAACATATAAATTTAATATTTATATTCATTAAACATAAAAAATTTTAATTTTATTGTTAAAATTTACAGAAAACAAATTGCAGAATAACATTTGCTGTTTAGAAAAGTCTAGTTTGATGCTTTGTTGACACACTTCAATGTAATTAATTTAAAAAATTCATTATAATGCTCGTGCTGCTTATTGATTATTGCATTTTTTTTTTTTACTGTAAAGAATATTTTTTATGCAGTAATTGTGCAAGAATGTAGAAGAAACTATCTCTAAGTTGCATTAAAAGATTGATTATTTAATTAATTATTCTCTCAGAATTATTTACATTTATTGGGCTGCAATTTGAAAAAATTGTAGACATATAAATTCTTACCATTGCCCATCCATTCGTCTTTTCTTAATCTCAAGAATGGAGTTTTATAGATGAAAGCCAAGAGCAGATATGAAAATATTAGGGTCAGGAGGCCCTGACTAATTATATACGAACTTCCGCTGCAAACCAGAAGTCACATTATTTCAATTCAAAACTTTTTCCCGTGAGGAGTTAGATAGATGACTGGCACAACTGTGTTGCTAACTGAAAAGTATGATGTAGACTGGCAAGACACTACTAATTTGATTGAAGTGGAGAGAATATATTTTAAATTAAATAAATTAAAAATGACTAAAACTTGCAGCCCGACATTGTGCATGTCACAATAAATAATTGTTTGTATTATAGAATGTTTTTTGTTGATATTATTTGTATTTTCTTTAATTAGATATTCGGAAATGATACCAATTCGATATCTTTCTTCGGATAATGCAGTGCTTTACTGTAATTTGATGGTCAAATTTATTGGGTCCAAACTGGTTCGGAGTCGGCTGTTACTTGCTAAAATGGTCACGTCCGTTATTGCCTCAGCATGTTACATAGCCAAGGGAAAGTAAGGAAGGTGGCAAGATGGATTCGTAATTTTAGAACAAAAATATTTGCCCAACTTAAATTAATTAATGGGTCTCCAAGTGGATATGGTGTTGAACCAAAACAGAGTTATACCATCTCTATTTGGCTTGTTCAATTTAATGACTAGTGATGCAGTCTCTCTTATGGAATGTCTTATCTACACATCTGTCCTAACGACTGTTTTGTCATATAAGTAGTCGTTGATTTGGAATTGGCAAAACAAGGGCAAGTCAATTGTTTAATTATAAAATAAAGTGTTGCAATGGCTAAATAATTTTCTTCATTTAAGGTGCAGTATTTTAAAAAATGTGGAGGTTTGCTTGTTATCTACAGAGTATGTCAGGCCTGAGCGGATGGCCTAAGCAAACTTATCCAGAAATTTTTGACACATCTTGTTTTAAAGGTTAATGTCATTTGGATCTGACAGAAAGTGACAATGCTTGTGTATTAGGGACAGTGAAATGAAAACGAGACAGACTATATAACAAGTGTGGCACGGAAGTTGGTAATGCAGGTAGGTGTGTATATAGAAGTGCCCTCTATTGGGAATCAGGAAGGAACAGCGTGAATGTTCACCGCTGTGCCATTTGTCTGTTAGATATGCTCGAAGTGAGGTTGGCGAGTCGTGTGTGCGTCCAACATCACTATGGAGGTCCGCTGCTTGTTGATTTTCTGGAACATGGCACCACAATTAACGAACAGCGGTACATAGAAACTTTGCAAAAATTGAAGCGTGCCATCAAATCCAAACACCCAGGAATGTTGACAGACAGCATCATTCTGTTGCAGGATAATGCCCACCCACATGTTACTGTGAGACTAATCGGGGGTAGGATGTTTACGAGTTCTTGACTCTTCTACCTCTTACTCGACTCGAGACCTTGAGGTCCGGTCTTGCTTGTCTAAAGGATGGGTTCTTTTGAGTGGAAGGGTTTTAACGTTAAGGATCGCTAGATCCTTATTTCATGTCAGGATCTGACACCAATCTATCATTTCCGTCGCGGATAGATACGCGGTTGAATGGAGGAGGAATTATTATGACCGATCACGTGCAGGACTTTGGGTTCAGTATGGAGTGGATAATGTCGGAAGGAACACACACCAATCCAAGTTTATTAACAATATACCCGTTTATTATTGAACAGTTACATAGATAAATATTTCCTAAATCTAGATTGGAGTTCCCTCACAGGATTCCATAAGTTTGATTCATAAGTCCAGGGTTGACAAAATATAAATTAGTCGTGATTGAGAGAGAGCTTACATACTCTCGCGCGTAGAATAGGTTACGTCATTATAAAGTTGATCCGTGGCTCGTCCTTCCAAATTCAAAGTTCAAATTAGTCCAAAGTTCGAATCAGTCAAAGTTGCAAGTCTGTTGAAGACGGTGGCAACGAGAGGCAGGTAAATCCACGCACACACAGGATAGACCAAATAACTTCCCCCTTGTGTCATCATTGCATTTTCCTTTTATATGGGGGCTATGTTTTCAAGATTTCCCCATGTATGTCACAGGTGATGATGATCTTCTTTGACCAATGGTGGGCGAAGTGACAAATTTATGACACAATGATTAACTCATCTTCTACAAGGAAGTATCCCCGTGGGAACAGAGTTTTATGAGAAAATTTGTCGGTTGTTTTTCTCTTTTTGGAGTTAACCCTAACTTTTAATGTAACTTTTAACCTAATGAATAAAAATATTTGAATCTTAAATCCGGGCCCTCACATTACCAAGGTTGTTTTGACTACATGCAAATGCTCTCGTACATTATCTCGAAAGCATTCATACGATTGACTTGACCGAATTACTCAGCGTTTGGCACTCTGCACTCTTTATTTTGTACAGCATAGCCTGTTCTTGTGTTACCAAACTCTCCCCCAGTGATCGACTAAATGCTTGAGGCCAAGCGGTGTGTATTCATCACTCGAATAATTACAACTTTATCTCTCGGTGAATGGTATATATTAGTTTTTGGCATACTCAATGAGATTTCAAAGTTTAGTTTTCAGGTGTTAATTAAGTTTTACAGCAAAAAATTCTTCAGTAAAATCTGGTATTATAAGTTAAAAAGAAGATAGCACTTCTTTCTTAATGGGAGGCAACCATATAAGTCTGTCAATGATCTGTAATTTTCCAGAGTACCTTTGGATGTATAATATTATACACAATAAAGTGCAGCCCAAAAATCACTTAACTGTATTCTGTACGTTATGGATACACTTGTGAATATGAACCATAATCCGAGTTTAGAATGATGGTTTTCTTTTATGGAATGACAGAGACATGATAAAAAAGCACGATTAAGCATACGAGTATAAGAAGACTGCAATTTATTCTTTATGATGGTTAACTGATTTCTGAGCCACTTATTTATATATAAATTGTTTTGCTCCAAGGTTATTTAAATATATTCATTTGTTAAAATGTTTCTTTTTAGATGCCATTGCAAGCGAGGAAATGGTTCGAATTACTCCTTCCCTAAGAAGCAAAAAAGGTAATTTGAACAAAAATATGTGTCATAAACTGTTTTATTTGTTAATAAATGCAGGTGCATGTTACTTTTCTAGGTTCAATATGGTCCAAATCGGCAACTACGTTTCAGTGGTGGGAAGTGGAGATGATATTCAGGGTGAATGGACGAGGCAGACTGGGAGCTGATGGTCTCGTAAGTAAAGCAATACAAAGAATTAAACAAAACTAATTTGTTGGAGAATTGAATATTTATAATCTTTTGTAGGCGTTTTGGTTTACAGACAAAAAAGGTGTTGAAGGACCTGTATTTGGTAGTAATGATAACTGGAATGGATTGGGTATCTTTTTCGATTCCTTTGATAACGATGGAAAGGTAAATATTGCTTGTGAATAACTAGTTTTTAATTTAATTTACAGTATTAATTAATTATTTTGCAATAAATGAAATGTGTAATGGCAGACAAATGGAATTTAAATACATTTTTCATACACAGATATACTTAAATACAACATACAAGAGTTTGCAGCAATGCCAAACTCTTGTATGTCTGATAATATGAGAGATGAGGGTTGGACCCACAGTAAAAAATTAAGACATAAACATGATACAAAGAGACAGGGTTGTGATGTTTGGCTGGTATTTTTCTCTTATTCACCATCACTAGTAGCTATAGTCCATGTGTAAAAGAAAAGTAACCATAGCCAAAGTTAGCATAGCCAAAATAAATGAAATTATATACTTAAGCAGTTGTAGGTATTAATCTAAGTGCTTTGATGATTTCTACTGTCCAAAAGTGATCATAGGATTTAGAAGTCAATTTTTTCTGGAGAATAATGTCTTGCAGTTCCTCACACTATCCTCTTTGTCACTCTGTCAAAAAAAGACTAAATATTCTATGTTCCTCACTATTTCTTGCAGGAAATTCAACTCCTTTTCCTGATCTTTTTGTCTTGAACTTAACAAGATTACTCTTATAATAAAGGTTTTGAATGTAACTGCAGCAGACCTTTGGGAAGCATACAGGACAGAAGGATTTTAATGTTTTTTTTCTATAAACTCCTATACAAAATTCACTGTACACCTATGTACAGTGAATTTTTGCTGTTCTTTCTTAAGTTTTGGAGAGCCAGTATGGGATAAAGTTTATCTCTTTTGTTATTCTTCCATATAATTATATCATCATCCACAAATCCCACATAAAAGCTAATCCTGCTTCTCAGGTTTATTTCAGGGAAAGTCCAGAAGGATATTACTCCCTAGAGATTGAAAAATGCCTCCTCACATAACTTTGTATAAAATATATTTTTGTAAAAACATACAAAAGATTATATAGGTATATAGAAGCAATAAATTGGTGGACCAATTGTACTTATCACCCTCTCCAATAAGAGAAATACCCCCCCCCCAGAGAATGTTTTCTGAAAGAAACACTGCTGCTTCCATACTTCTGTTATTTCTCTGTTATTCTTACCACCTGCAATTGGAAATCAATTAGCATTTCTGTTCTGTGTAATATTTCTCCCAGAATGGAAATAGGACTCTTTCATAATTTCTTTAACTATGATACTTTCTCTCTTCCAAACCTCTTGAAAAACTCATCTAGCATCACAAATGCAGATTTATAGTTTATGCTCGGGTACAAGGACTAAAAGTTGTAAGGTCTTCCTCACTCCCTTTAATTTCTTTCAATTCTATCTTTCAAGTTCCACACTCTTCCTTATCCACTGATAATCATCCTTACTTTTATCCGTTTTGCTAGCTTCTCCACTTTGTAAGTTTGGGAGCTTTGCATCTCTACAATCAGACTTGCTAATTATGGTTTCTTATGAATTTTTATATATGCAGTAATCGTAAGGGACACTATATGCTGCATGCACCCATCTTTTTAAATCATTTTTATATTTTGTTTGAGTTGTTTGTCCCAGACAATTTGGGCCCCATTTCTTGCCACCTGGTCACCCCATTGTGAGTACGGCTGAACCTATGATAGGTATGAAAGGAATGCCTACTGTGATGCCTACAAAGCAGAAAGTTAAAAAAAAATTAGTAGTTTGTCTTTTGTAGAATTTTGAAAACTGAATTTTGCATTGCATAACTTTATGCAATGCAAAATTTAACTAACTTGCATTATTGAATTGAATTAACATGACAAAAGTTTAACTTTATGCAGAATCGGCCATCTCTAAGTACAGTCTGGTCTGTTATAATTGTGTTTTTAATGCACAAATGCAGTAGGTTATGGGTATAAATTTACCTAAGTGTGAAAAAAAATGTTCACACACTTGTTTTTTCATAAATTGACAATGCTTTGCCCTACCAAGCAACACCAGTTGAATGCAGAAAACACAGAAGAAAAACACACTACATCAGCTATTACCCAGTTTATACAAGTGTTAGTGTTACCCTTAAGTATGTATTGCATTGTTCCCCAAATTTATGCACCTTCTTGATAAAGTATTAAATACAGTATTCCAAATGTGTTGGTATCCTGAGTGAAAAAAGAAAGCTTTATGTATTGTGGAGAAGCTCAAGATTTTATAAAACTAAGGTGCAGAAGTGCTTAAAATTTTAACTCTTTCCCGTGAATAGTGTTATTTTTATTATACAACATGCCAGATCATGATGATTTCTAGGTATGCACCATCTTATAAGAGAAGCAATTGTATAGCATGCATAGATTTATTCATTAAAAATAATTATTATTAGATAAGGCTGCTTGATTTACTTATTCAGTTTTATTCGGAAATGTCTTTGGCTTACATATGTTAAGATGAAATGTTCAAATTTAAGTTGAAAATGGCCCAATTATAAATGGAAAATGTCAAGTAAAACTTTATTTTTTACCCAAATTAAACAGTGCTATATTTGACGTTACAGTGACAAGTTTTGTATGCTTTCATAAATTATAATTTTGATTACATGTTACATAAATTAATTTTTTCTTTTATTGTTCTAGGGTAACAATCCTTACATTATGGCTATGGTTAATGACGGTACCAAAGTTTATGATCATCAGACGTAAGTGCTATCTTAGTGATACCAAATATAAAGACTTTTTTAACACGTTCACGGCATTACAAGGCACATGTGACTCATATGGACATGTCTAGTTAGGGTGACAAATATAATTGCTTGTTTTTCCATGGGGCGGAGCATGTTTTGATAACATAATTCTACAAACATCATACTTGATATATCAATATTATTTTATTAGGTGCAATAAAATATATTAATTTAATAGTACAAGTCACCTGTGACTCGTAATACCCAGCAGCTGCATAAATGTTTATCTACTGATGCCGTGACTGTGTTAATTAATATAGTGAAAAACACAAACCAAAAATAACTAATTTAAAGATGAAAGTATTGACAAATTACTTTTTTATTACTGATTTTTTTTTCTAGATTATTTAAAACAGTGATTCCAAACTAGTGCCGTGTCATACTAGTATGTTGTAAAGCTATTTTAAGTATGTCGTGAGATGCTGAGATGGATCCAAGAGGAGCTGTAGGGGCTTAAGTTTTAATTTTTCTGTGTCAAGGACAGGGCTTATTTGTTCAGTGTTTTTTTAAAAACATTTATGATAGTAAATGTGGTTTATTGAACAGTCTGCAATATAATCATCATGTGCATGTTAATAAAAGGCCCTTATTAATTATTCAAATATTTTGTGTGTTAGCTCTTCCATTGTGTTCTTCTGGATCCACTACAGATGAGACGAATAAAAAAATTAAAGCAAGATATTTAAAATTTGCAAAAGAAGTAGCAAAATGTACTCCTGTGTGTTATAAACTATATTTCAGAGTTTGTAGCATTAAATTACCATAGAAAAAATAGAGAGAGCATCATGATTGACCAGTCCAGTAATAATTAATAATTGTGCAAAGGTTGCAGCTCACATAGTGTGCCATAGGTTTCAAATGTTTGGAAATACTGATATAAGATAATCTGTTACATAATTATTATAATTTATAAATTAATCAAACTTAAAAATCATTTACTATTCGATTATTTCAGAGACGGCATCAATCAGCAATTGGCCGGTTGCTTGAGAGACTTCCGAAACAAACCGTTTCCCGTTCGAACAAAAATTGAATATTACAGAAACGTTCTATCGGTTAGTGATGATTGGTTTCTTTATTTATGCCAATCATAAAATAATTATGGAAAAGGTAGTATAAACACCTCAAAAAAAATCAGAAAATTAATAAAAAAAAAAAGAGAGAGAGAAGTTAAAATTTCTTTTTGTACAACAGATTCAAATTTTAATGATTTCACTAGATTTTATGGTATTTAAAATCTTAATCTCTAAAGAAATAATTTTGGCTAAAAAAAACATTATATTATAATTATTGAAGATGACATAGCAAACTTTTTTTTTTTTTTTTACTTAGTTTTCCTGTGTTGTTAATTAGAAAACTCTTTTCTAATTTCTTGAATGATTAAAATGTTACTCAGAAAATATTCTTTACAATTCTGTACAGACCACAAATCGTTTTGTTGGACGATATTTAATTATTATTTAAATTTAAACTCTTGACCCATGAATACTTTCAGCTCATATCAGCAGTTTAATAATCATTTCTGGCTTGGGAAATTCATTTTAAGTCTTTTAAGTTATTATTCCTTCAACTCCTAGCTAATTTAAAAACCTAAAATGACCTCGCAGCTTAATTTTGGACTCCTTCAAGCCCAAAATTAAGTGGAACTTCTCTATAAATATTGAATAGAGAACCCTTCAGTATGAACATGTGACATTGTTAGCACTGAATTGCGAGTTTCAAATTTTTAAACTCTACTCATGTGTCGAACTTCATTACTACATCTGCATATAATCCTTATTATTTTGAGGTACTTCAGTTTAATGCCACACTCAATTTAGTGCCAATTTGAAAGGCAAACAAATATATTTCTAAATTTAAGTTTGACTGTATTCTCATCAGTCTAATTTATATTTTAGTAGCTTAAAAATTGGAATCTAATGAGTTATTTGAAATATCTTTGCTATTTTGGAGTCATATAATCTATTAATTTTTTAGATTTTATTTCATGCCGGAAATTCTAACAACGATGACGACTACGAAATGTGCATGAGAGTAGAAAATGTATTTTTGCCGCAGTTTGGTTATTTTGGTATATCAGCTGCGACTGGTGGATTAGCCGGTAAGTTTACAATATTCTGTTGGCTTATCTACATTTTTGAAAGTTATTAATAAAATTTTTCTGTTGCATAGATGATCATGATGTTCTCAAGTTCCTTGTGTCGAGTCTTTATCCTCCCGGAACACAACCCGTGAGTATCATCTAAATAAAGTATTTTCAATTAGTTGAAAAATATCAATCTCTAACTGTTGCTAATTTCTACTAGTAAGAAAGTAGTTAAACTTTAAAATAAATGAAATTTAACATATGCAAAACTAAATTTTCATATCTAAACTACTTAATAAGTACATAAGAACAGAGATATAATACACACATGTAAAGCCTAGTCCATTCTAGAAAAATTGGAACTAGAACCAGTCTGTCTATGTATCAGTTCTATTTCCAAAAATGTGTGATATCTCGCAGAAAACAAATTCAAATAATATCTGCTATTGTTGCCATTGAAATTATGCTAGAATGGATGTTAATATTGTTTATTGTTCATAGCAAATTGTAATAATGCAGTAGCATTCACATTCTCATTTAGGATTTTATTATTCAAGATAAACTTCAGTCAGATTATGGTGGATATTTCGATGATACTTAGGGATGAAAAGTCACAAATTTGGCACCCTGGATTGGAGAATTGTACCAAATCATTTTGTTGGACAATATTCTTTTAATTTATTATTTTTTAAATTTAAACTCTCGATCCATGAATACTTTCGGCTCAAATCAGTTAATAATCGTTTCTGTTCAATACTGTTAATAATCGTTTCTGGCTTGAGAAATTCATTTTAAAAGTCTTTTAAGTTATTATTCCTTCAATTAACAGGCTCGAACCTGGCTTTTCTAAAGCAGGTTTTTTCTCAACCAGTTCTCTGTGAAGACATGAGTGTGATCTGCAAACCACTGCTTAACAAAATGCTATTCTAAAATTTGTTTCCTTAATTTGGGCAAGTTGAAAGCTGGATGAATAATTAATATTTAATAAGGTTCCAATAAATATAAAGTTAATTAAGGAAAGAAATTTTTAACATTTTTATCCGACTTACCTCAACAAGTATGGAAATTAGGCACCAGTTTCTAAAATTATATTTAATATGTTAGCTATTGTAATTAAGAAATGAAATGTTAATCTTGACAGTTTCAATTTTAGTTACTAATTGTACTTTCATATAACATTTGATCTACTTAATTTTGGTTATTTGTACATGTTTTAGACCCCACAACAGACAATTGCTGACACTGAAAAAGAAAAATTCTCAAAAGAATACGAAGAATACAAAGTTAAATTGGAAAAACAGAAAGAAGAGTATGTTACATTTTCATCTGTGAAGCAATTACATTGGAAAGTGTATTTTAAAAAATCTTGTCATTCTTTCAGGTATCGTCGACAACATCCAGACGAAGCTCACAAAAAGGATATGGAATATAATCCGGAAGAAGCGGTTAGTGCATTAATTAAATTTAAGGTATATTATTTTTGTTTCTTTATTTTGCATTTGTTTCTTTAGTATGAAAGCTTCCAGCAAAGAGAATTAACACAAATATTCCAAGGTCAAAGTCAGATATTCGAAGCAATGAAATCATTAAATAGGAAATTGGATGAGATCATCGGTCGTCAGGAGCGATCTCTTTCGATGCTGTCTGCAGTACAAGTGGGAGGAGTCGGAGGAGGTAATGTGAGAATATTCTTTTAAAAAATTTTTAATTTATCTTATTTAATGTAAATCTGAAAATTAAAGGTGTAACTTTAATTAAAAAATTAATTAAAAAGTACTGTCAATGAAAGATCCATCTAGTCATTTGTGTTGACTGTGAAGGTTGCAAAAGGCAGTTGGTTAGACCAGTGATACTGATGTGTTAATTTTGACATTTGTGTGCATTTGCTTTAATTAAAAATGATGCACAGTGTGAGTTAGTTGACTTAGAGAGGAAGAATCATAAATCCCACCTTTCCACACCAGTGAGAGGTCACCGACTAGAATGGAATATTTACATTCCGCATCAGAATGATCTAGGGTCTGTTCATATGTGGGTGGTGGTCATGGAGACAGTGATGACACATACCTTCACAGATAACCCATTTATTTGAACAAAAGGTTGCTTACAAAGTTTCTGGAGGTTCACTGATTCCTCGTATCACAATTTTAACCAAAATTCCTTTCCAAAAGTTCCTTCCAGGAGGAGGTGAGTTGATAAAAGTGTCCAAGGATCCACTGACTTCTAGTAGAGGTTGTGGTGTTCAGTGGGTTGCAGATACGGGTTGATGCTCGTGGAGTAGACATTGAGCTATTTGAATGAGATGGTCAGGGCGAAGCGATGCCAGTTTTGCTTCTTCCTTGATGTGACACAGGTTTTGTCGTTCAGTCACAATGGAGAGAGACTGCTCTCTTGACATGTTGACACTTTGTCCTTGAAGACTGGGGATTATATTAATCTCCGTTTTCGATCGGCCATTCCGATTGGTTGATTCCCCTCATCCACACTTTCCGTTACGCTTAGTAACAAGGGAATGTTACTAAGCGTAACAGGGCCACAGGTTGGATTGCGGGACAGGCCAAACTCAAAGCCGAATTCAATCTCCCAACCGGAGATGGTCGACCTTAGGACTACATTCTTTCCATAATTTATGGCTTTGCATTGCGTTTTAACATAAACAAAATCTGTATGTAGCTACAATCATTTTTTACTTGTCTTCTAAATCTAAATAAATATTTTGCAAATTTGATGACAGTTCAGACCTGTCCAGAACCTCACAATAGTTAATGTTTATACATATCTTGATCTATCATTAACATGGATCTAGATAATAGAATAGAAATACTTTAAATTATTCAAATCTCTGGTTCCTTTTTAAAAAAAAAAAAAACTATTACTACTTGCCCTGTAAAAGTAAATAATAAATTAGCAAGAAATTTTAGTAACATTAATAAAATAAATATATTAAGGAATGTTTATTTAGTAGTTATTTAATTAAATCTTAAAGGCTAGTTTACACAATATGACTATCACCAACATTTTTTCAATCAATTTGATTTGTTTGAACAAACCTGTGACTTGTTAGCAACCTTGATTCAAGGAGTTGCAGCTGTGTTACAGAAGATTTAATCTGTCAGATCTTTTGCTAAATCAATCAGTGATGTGATTAAAGTTATTTATTATAAGTCATATTCTCACTATTCTAGAGAAATATATGCTCTCTGCATACTCAATGACTTACAGGATGTATTCTGGTGCATTGTGTATTTTTTTATTTCTCAAAAGACACTGTGGCCACGTTGACCTTTTACAAGCATCTTACAGCAAAAATCAACAAAAAAAATTTATTTTCTTTCTCAGCTTGCATTCTGTTTTTTTAAGAACAAATATCACTGCGCTTTAAGTTTTTTTCCATTTTTCCGTGTAAGCATTTGAATTGCCAAAAAATCTCATCTATGTAGTTTTTGGGTGGTTGTTGTATTGTGTAATCAGTCCTGAGGCCAATTCATGTGGGCAATGAAGTTATGACAGCATCAATGACAACTAATTGATTTAACTAATCATCTATTTTGATCATAATAATTGATAGAGATGATCAACCAGACCTGCCATTGATGTCGATTTAGTAATAATTTTGTTATTCACATGCATTGGCTTTTAATATAGTTGTCAGTCTTCTCTACTACAGTCTGTATAAAGTAGAGCATCGATTATCTGCAAATTCAAATTTTCGCTAGTGCTGTGGCGCTGCAATATTTGGTTGTGTCTTGGGCTACTCCGATATTATTTTTGTTGGTGTGCGTGTTTCAACTGGCAGCACTGGCGCGATCATGAGAGGGTACTTAAAGATGCGCCAGTATTTGAATGAGGCTTTTTATCCCATTGTGAGTAGTGAGTTTTGCTTGTTTTGTGTGGTGTTTTTTCTTAGGACTGTGTGTCAGAACATTTTTGATACTAGATTAACTTCCAAAGTATAATTTTTTTTTATTTTTAGATTTTTTAATATATTTATTTTGTTTGTGCAAAATAAAGAAATAATTTTTAATGATACAATAGTCATGATTATTATTTTTTTTAAAAATTTTGTTAGGCTTAACATAGATGAAAATTCAATGCGAAGCGACATGCAATGGAGAAAAATTTCAACATGGGATAGGCTAATATATTTTTTTGTACATGAACAGTTATCCAAACAACCCCAGTTGTGAATTGTTTCAGATAATTGATGCTCTTCTGTATATTTAAAAGGAATAAAAGATAACTATTAAATTCAATTACAAAATGATAAATGATATTTATTTGTCAAGTTTTACAAGGTTAAATTTTATTTACCCAAAATTATATCTTGTTAGTTCCCCACGGAGGCCAAGGAATGCCACCACCGGCCATGCCAGTTGACGGATTGCGTCGACATGAGGTAGATGCTCTTCTTGGAAATCAGAGAGAGATGGTACAAGCCTCTAGAGATATCAAGTAATATACTAGTTTTTCTTCTTTAAATTCTTTATAATGTTGGCAAAATATTTAACAAGTAAACTTCGCTCAGAGCTTTTGTTGCAGAAATTCATCAGCGTACTGGCTCGCTTCTGGCTGGTCAAGCGACTCCTCAGGGCAGCGGAGGCGGCGGCGGCCAAGCATTCCAATATCAGACGCTCATCAACGAAGTGAAAGATGGGCTAAATATAGTAAAACGTGACGTTTCATCTCTCCATGCAAAAACAGTAAGCATCTTTCTTTAAATAATTTCATAATGAACACTTTTTAAATAATTATTAATGTAATTTGAATTTTTTCAGGGAGGACCATGTCCCGCCATGCCACAAGTTAGCTGCCTTACTCCTACATATTTCTTTATTTTTATGGGATTACAGCTAATAATTATGATTGGATATATTACTTATCAGTACGTAGTTTTATTTATTTCTGTTGTATAATTTATCATTTTGAATTCACTTTACAAATTTTTAACATATAATTATTACTGACAAGGAGACCATTAATTCTTGCCCTCCTCAAATTGATTGATTTTTTTAATATGTTATATATAATAATTGGATAAGAATACTATATTAAGCCAAAAACATATCATTTTATATTTGCAAATAAATTTAATATACTTTTAGACAACTGTAGGAAATGTACTCATTTACTATTCAATGGAAAAATAAAAATTGCTTTGACTTTATGTCCTTACCTGGCAAAATAGAGTTGCTGTACTCAATTTGGAGAAATATGTGAATGCAATACATCCCAAAGACCAGGATTGTCTTTTGATCTAACTTGTTAATTATTGCAACTGCATGCTGGGGTCATCAAAACAAATTACACTTTAAATGGCAATTGAAAGTCTGATGTAGAGACCATTGTTGTAAGTAAAGTGCGAAACCTAATCAGTGAAAAAATGGAATGTACAAGTGCAGAGACAAGTACTTTGAATTTGGAGAATGTTGAACTGACAGATGAGAAGCAGAAGAATAAGCTTGCAAATGCTGTAATTTATTGTAAAAATACATTGCTATTTTTACAATAAATTTTAAGGAAATTGACACATGCTGGAGAATATAATAATTCACACAATTGTGTATTACAGGAAAAGATTGCATTTAAAAAAGTATTCAGAAATAAGAGAAGCTTGCGGCTACAATATCCAGTATGCCAACCAGTTATCTTATTTGTCACACAAGAGTTGTTTTTATGAACTCAATATATAAACAAAGCCGAAAACTTTAAATGTTCATACCTTGCAGACTGGCAAGAGTTACTTTGTGTATTAGTTGGATAAGTGTACTATAACACATTAAAAAACCCCTTGCCCTTCTTGGATTGTTTGATTGATAGTCTCCTTGTGAGTATTATTTAATTGGATCATTTCTGTTTGTTTTAGAATTTACTGACTAATACTTCATATATTTTTAACTTTTTTAAAACAAATGCCCAGATATTAGTGTGTAGACAATTGAAGAATTATTCTACATATTCATTTACTGTATGCATTTGGCATTTAACTTCATTTATCTTTCAGCTCACTTGGCTCCATTTTGAATGAATATCTGATCTGATTCTTTTAGTAAGGCCTGTAATATGAATCTATAGAATATACAGATTCTTCCAAAAAGAACGCTACCATTTAAAATTACTGTAATTATGTTAATTATGACCGAAGAAGTACACAATGAATACCCATCAATGGAGTAACCATTTCAATTTCATCTACCATCTGCTGTCTCTAGGAAGCACGGTAAATGATGATTTTGAGTTTGCAGGTTGCCATTCATCATTGTACAACTGAGCTTCGGCAGACAATTTCAAAGTAATCCACCACATTCTTGTTGTGCAGTGATGACTGGTTCTGACTTTGCAAACTGCAGAACACAAAATGTCTTATCTGTTGCGGATTTTCCATTTTTATTTAGGGCAAATGGTAGTTGAAACTCTAACGCTTTCTCTGTCAATTGGCATACAATGCATACTTCTTTGGTAATAATTAACATTGCTACCATTTTAAATTACTGTAATTTTCTTTCTGAAAGATTATATATGTATTCATTGTGGATACCTTAATCAATATGTCTGATTTAATACTTATCGACACTTTCTTTTAGATATTACTGCTGCTTTTCTTTTCCTTTCTAGGCTGTAGAAGGCCATCAACCTATCCAGATACCATCTATTGGGTATCATATCTTCACTGCAATATTCTATAGGATTATAATAAGAATTAAGTTTTCTCTAAAGTAATAGAGAAAAATAAGAGCATTTCCACTATAATTTTAAGTAAATAGTTAACAAATAAATCCAGTAATTAAATATTTGGTGTAATCAGGATACATTTAGGCTACTAATTTAGTTAACTAACCATACAAGATATCAATATAACCTTTAATAATTTAAACAAATTACAATAATTACTGTAAATATAGTGCAATAAATTTGGAAATTAGATATTTGGTTTAATAATAATAAATTGAGCCAGGAGATTACTTACACAGTTGAGAAGATTAAATTGTTATTTTTATATTGAGAATTTTGTAAATTCATGCCTTACTATTGTCATTCCATTCCAATCGGGTCAAAGCTCTTCATTTATTATTAATTCCTCTGACAATTCTATGTTGTCTAGCCTAACTTTAATTTGCATATACTTTTAATTGCATGTCATGATATGTAATCAGATATTTACAAGTCTTATTTTTATTTTCAGGAATAGTAGAGAGTCGCAAGCAAAGAAATTTTACTGATCTTATCTATTTTATATATAAATATAAAATAAATTTAAATATTAAAAAAAAAAACATTCCATGTTGTTTCGGAAGAGAGTCGGCTCCAGAAAATGTGCGGAAACAAGACAACCATGTAACTGAATGAAAATTGCATACGAAATTTAAACTTACGACAGAAAACAAACATCCTGAAATGTAAATTCTGTACAAAATGCAAAAAAACTGATCAAGTATGATTATGAAACTTATAAATTTTGGCCAAAATTTATATTTCCTAACACCATTTTTTTATTTTAATTATTATTTCTAATTAATTTCTGTCTAATGATAGTCTTCCAATGAAATTTTCTAATTTTACATAAAATCTACTGGACTGCTATATTCATTCTGGGGTATTTTAATTTATTTTCTTACACAAAATAATATATGTATGTAGATTAAGCTTTGTTTCTTGGAATTTTTTACTTATTTGATAATGAAAATGAGTTATATATAATGTAAAGTTTTGAATTTTGGAAATAGGGTTTTAACGTTAGAAATGTAGAGTCATTGCGGCACATAAAAAATTTGATCGAGTAGAGGTTTGCGCAATATTTTGCAGCTTTTACTCATCTAATACTATTTTCCGAGGCATTTAAAAAAAAAAAAGTAAAGGGGAGAAACTTTAAAGTATTATTCGCAGGTTTATATAAATTAGGAAGCTATGTTATAATACTACAGCATTTAAACTGGTATGTTTGCACTTGTCACAAACTCCGCTACTATTTTTGGCATGTCAGAGCCACGTATTAAAGTTTAGATCCATAAATTATAGGAAAAAATTTCATGCAAGACCCAAAAAATAGTCACAAATAGCAGCTATGAGTGGTGTGCAAGTATTAAAAATACTGGTTAAAAGCCTGTGGTTATTTATACAAAAATAAACTAGTGAAGGGGGTTCTTAAAGCTTTGCTCAAAAGAAATTTTATATCAAAATAATTTTAAACATTTTTTTAATGAAATTTAACATATTTCTCTTATAGTTAAGGTATAGATTTATCATCGTAATTAATTAACTTTTGTATTTTTAGTTATAATGAAACTACATATCAACTTGGGGCATCAAATTGTATTTTTTTTTTTTTTTTTTTTGTGTTGGGTAAGCATTTAATTTGATCCTTTGAAGTGTACGGTTTTATAATTCATGTTAAATGTTTGTAAATTTAGCAAATTACATTCTTAAAATTACATTTAAATTGACTAAAACATGTCCTGATACCTTTACAAAGAGTTTCGAGCTTTCCCCAATACATTTGTCGGGGTATCGCCAATGTTTCTATATCATAAACATTTACAAAAATTGCAGATTTTCAAAAAAATTTATGAAAATGTGTGCATATTCAGTGGCAGTTTTAAGTTGGGCGAGGCCTGTTTATGTAATGTAAAGCCCATATCGTGCTAGCTAGTATCGCATTTGATCAAGATCCAGTATCAACAAGTGTGTGTGTATGCATCCAAGGCCTTTAAAGTGCTGTGCATTTGGGTCTTGGGTGCGCGGAGCTTTAGGGTTACTTATGCCTAAAACTGCCACTGATCACGTATACGCAAAATTCAGTATTGGAATTTTTTCGGAGGTAGTTTTTACAAAACAGATGATACTGATCAGGTTTTTATACTACTGAAGTGAATTTACACATTAGTTTCTGTTAAGTTTGGCTAATTTATGGTTCATTTTTTCCATAGAAACCGCATCATCATTTACCAAATTACCCTAGATCAGTAGTTTCAACCTGTTTTAGAAGCAAGGTAAGTCAGTAAGTATGTCTACTGGCTTGCTTTCTTTGTCTGGGATACACCTGATATTGTATAACTTAATTTTTTAAGTAAATTATTGGGTATTGGAGGATCTTGCTGCAACACCCTGGAATGAATTTAGGGTATTGCAATGAGCTTCTATGGTCTTGAGGTCCCGAAATCCAGGTTGAACTTTGCCATCCTAGACCCTTACTAAACTCTCTCACACGCAAAGATTAATTGCAGTAACAATTTACATGGACAGAAAACATTCACTTCACGAAAATCCTCCAAGAAAACCCTGGAAACTACTGAAATCTTTGAGTTTTATTTTTCATGTGATAAATTCTCTGTCCAAAATTTCTATTTTTGTATGTAAATTTTGAGTGTTATGCTAATTTGTGAAGTATGCAAAAATTATCAAACGAGTGGCTCCTCATTAATTAATTGTTAAATATATCAATTTGTGGGTTCCTCTCTGTATGTTTGGTACACGTGGAAAAATCGAGTGTGCATGTGTATAGGTATATAAATTATATATTTATACACAAACACACTTCACAAATGTCAAATTTTTCGATATATATATATTTATATATCACATTAAAAAACATGTTGCCAATAAAAAGAAAATGTTTCTGCTGATTTTGTGTTGTTATTTTCTTTAAAAACAGAATCAAGACGTGAAATTTCGTGAAATTCTTCACAAATTTGCCATCGTTTCGTCGGTTTTAAAACGTAAATGTGACAGTGAATAAAGTGATTTTAATTTATTTAAATGGTGAAATTTTCGGTAGTGTCTTACGTATATAGTGAAATTTCCTTTCACGCATCACCATACGACGTTTTACGCGTTATAGTCCGGTTGTTAGTAGTGTAATGAAATCATTTTCATAATTTAACATGCTTTCCGGAGAAATTTGCATTCATTTCGCGAAATTCGCTAAGTTACAGACGTGAAATCATTTAGTGAAGCTTTCGAACGTGAAATTGCCTTTGGCACACCTTTAAACCATTCGGTACCGACGTCCCAAATGAAAAATACGAAGAAATTCGAGATAATTCATCAAAATTTCAGAATCTACGTTCGGGATTCTTTTAGAATGTAAGGAAAGTAGCTATAGTACTGTAAAGTTGTGTTCAGTGGGAAGCTTGCAGGATACTGCGCTCGTTTACTAAGAAAAATGGGCATTTTTAGGTGAGAAAATCAAGTGAAATCTGTAAAACAGACACCTCTATGAAGCACGAGACTATCTAATCACCATCCAAATGACTAGCAAATGAACTTTGACGTATAGATATCAGCAATACAGAAACACCCCCCTAGCAGTTCTGGAATACCTGATATCAAATGGCTGCTTCGATTGAATATTAAAACGAAGTGAAAAATGAACAACGAAAAGTAAGAATTTCACGATGTTTTACTGTAAATTTCACCTTGTGAAAGAACTAAATAATTGTTTTTATACAGATTTTGGCTCTTGTGGTGGGGTGTTGCGTGCTTGTTAGGTGCTGAAGCCAGCTATAATGAGTCCATTTGCACCTTCGAAACGTTTAATTGTGGTAAGTCAAGCTTTCTTTTTTTATACTCCTCACTTTACGTATACTGTTACAGTTATACTGTATCTCCTGTTTCCTAACAATGAAGAAAATACAATTCGGATTTAGTAAGAAACTTCATATTTCCTCCTCGTCCCGTTATTTTAAGGCTACAAAACATGTTTTTACGTAGGATTTATCCAGGGGGTGCCATCAGAACCTATGGTTCGGGCCCCGAACACAGAAGGCCCCCGGAATTTAACGCATCCTTCGATTGAAAGGAAAAAGCTTTCCTCCTATCTCGGCTACAAAAGGCAATTTTTAAGTATAATTTATCCATGCCCTGAAGGAAGGGGCATCGGGTGAGAGGACCGGACGCAGAGGGCCTCCAAATTAAAGTAGTGACACCAGGGGGTGGGTCCTCTCACGCGCTAGACTTTCACACATTCTCGAATCTTTCAATTTCTCAAAGTTTTGAAACATTCTTCCTCATTAAAAAAAAAAAGGATCCTCTAAGGCCATAAATTTCATGAAATTTAGTATAAAAATGGGCAGAAGTAGAATAAAAAGTTACTAAACATTAACAATTGACTGATGTTATCGTCATACCGATTAGATAAGTCGAGTCTATTGTTTTGAATTAGATAAATAAATTACGCTATATCTAAAATTTTGAATTTGGAATTTTATTTTAGAAATTATTTATGGAGGTTCTATTAATAATTTCTAATTGTTTAGAATTAAAATCATTTAGTCACACGATTAAAAATAGTGATGATGGAGACGAGCGATGACGTTTTTATAATTGAGGACGAGAGATGACAAACATTTTTGAATTTATATCTTCCATTCGAGACGTCAAAGTTGTTTTTAATTAAAATTTAGGGCCCTTCAAATAGGGGTTTTGGATTATTTTTACAAGCTTATAAAATAAAAAATTGTATATTGTATATGGAATCGGTTGTAGAGCTGTCTAAATGTATGTGGAATTGTGTGACTAGTGACTAGAACCTTTACCACCACTTGATTTTACATATACTGTAGCTTTCATGGGTCTTAGTGCATCTTCTACCGAGAGCCCCGTTTCTATGGGTGCATCTTTCACCAAGAGCACTGGTTATGGGGATGCATGTTCATTAGAAACTTCATTCTATAGGTGTCTTCCACTTTTTTAAACTTTCCATCCTTGGGCACTAAGAGGGTTTCTTTCATTACCATTGTGGTTCGGACAGGCCTACAAAGAGGGTGGTAAGGAACGGAAGTTTTCGATCCCGTGTCCTCTAGAACCATAGGCTGACCCTTAAATGCACCATCCTGTCTTTTATTAAAAGATTTTATGGTTCTATACAGATATATCTTTTACTAGAAGCTAGAACTTCATAAACCTAATTATTTCTGTCCGTTTTATCCTCTATTAAAACTGACATTTATTATTTTTAAAGGGCCCATCCCTCCTACAATAAAAGAATCATTCATCTTGAAAGGAGAATATATCGATTTTGATTCCCAAACAACCACTTGGCAAGAAGAATACTTCGATTACCCAAATCTCATTGCCAAGTATAAAATAGTGGCCGAAGGAATGGAACTTCACCACATCTTCGACTACGAACAGGAGGAAGTGATTGTGTATCAAGTAATTCATCCAGGAGGTGAATATAATCAATTAAGATGTTGCAAAATGCAAGAATTCATGTTAAAAGTGTTTCCTTTCATCAAATTTCAGCTCCTGCAGAGAAAGATCCTACAGCCATACGAACGTGCAAAGTGATAGATTTGGAGAGTTCGGGCCTAGGTGGTATTTATGGGTATTTGTATAAACAACAATCCGTGAAACGTTCGAGAATGTACGATTCTTCTCAAGTGTTACACTTTGGAGGCGAGTACAAGTACGCGTTTGTAAAGAATTCCACGCTGAAAGAGCGACAGATCCCCCATTTAGAATATCATGGATGCGTCTATGACAAAAACTTCGATATGACCATGGATAAGACGTTCTTATGGAGCAGTAAGTAGGACCCAATTACGAAATTCTTATATTTTCATGTTTAAACTTGCTCAAAAATCTGTATTTTTTAAAGGAGATGACGTTGTGATAGCGAGTGGAGAAGATACCATGCCCATAAAGGCAAATACGTTAGGTGTCAGAACGACATATAATGATGATGGAAAACCTGAAACCGAAAGCTTCAATTACACTGAAAATTTTGTTTGGTATCAAGGGAATCCTGATTTCGATGAGGACACCTTTTGGGTAATTCATTCTTGGCGGTTTTTATATACATTTTGGGTTTTTTTTTAATTTAAAAATTGGGCTCTCAACTTTAGATTCCTCGAAGGATGTACTGCGAAGATTTGCGATCAAAAATCAATGAACCCAACTTTCCAACTGCATTTAGCGCTCGTTTAGAGGAAACTGTTATGAAGTACGACGTGGACGGTAACTTAAAAGACATGGGGTTTGTCTGGAACAATGAGGTCAGTCGCTGGTTTTAATTAATTTGGTTAATTACCATTAAGATTTGCTAACCAGAATCTTCCTAGACCTGGTACGATTCTGACGAAAACGTCATTCGAATGGATTTTGTACTTAGCGAAAAAGATGGAGAAGTGTTTAAAGTCTTCGGAAAGACCCCCATTTCGGCAATCTTCGATGTTACTCAAGGTATACCCATATATAAAAGTGTGCGGGATTTATATTTCGTGATCGAATATTGAGTCAAATTCTTTCAGGTGTGGTTTACTATATAAGCAGGGTTTCGGGAATTTGTGTACCCTTCGCCATCCCTGCAGATAGTATTGTTATATCCTCCGATTTTGAAAGAAAAATGGCGTCAATTGAAGAGATCTTAGGGTTAAATGGATTAGACATGGAATACAAAGGAAAGGTTTGCAGATTTTGTAATTAGACTTCCCTGCAAAACACGTGGTTAAAATTTTCTTCTGTGATGCTGTTCTCTGTATTTTATCATCTTGCTCACACCAGCATTTGCATACTTTTCTGTTGTACGATTTAAACGTGTGGTGTTCTTTTTTTAACAGAACAGAGCTCGACAAATCCTTTGTGATGTCTGGGCTGGAGAAAATGAGGACGACGAGAATACAACAATTTTTACGGAATTTTATACATCAGCTGTAAGTTTTTATGGCATAAGAGGTTTACAGGTGAAAATTAAAAATTTATTTGTGTTTTCTTTTACCAGAATGGATGGCATTCAGAATCGGAAGAGGACGAAGTTTTCGATGTTCCAGTTAGAATTACGCAGAGTATCTTTAGAACTGTACGTCTGTCTGTTGTTTTAATGTGTATCACACCATAAAATTAACTCAGAACCCATAAAGAATTCGACAATTTTCATCTGTAATTATTTGCAAAACATTCCTCATGCTTTAATTAATTGAAAACAGCAGACGCCAGAGAATTTTTTTTTGCACTGTCACTTGCGTAAAACATCACTAATATCTCATTATAATCGCGAGTTTTGGCTGAAATATAGCAGTGTCAAAAATTGTCACGTGATTTTTGAGTTTTAGTATGAAAGTGTTTAAATCGTGACAGAGCGCAATAAGCAAAAATTTGGGTTTACAATACAATGCAAATTGCACCATTCTATCATTACAGGATGGTGCAAATTTTACCATTACGACTAGCAACATTCAGGCGAACTTGGAGCGATACCACGAGTTAAATTTCCAAGTAAAGATCCGAACCCGCGCTTTTTCATAGCATGCCAAGTATCTAATCACATATACAACCTTCTTATATTTAAATTATTATATATATATAGGTTACAAAGAAAATTGAGTACATTGAGGTCGTAGGTGTCATCACAACATACTTTTGTATAGGTTTTGCTTACATTGTAAACTAATTCTCTGTTATTTATACAACTCTGCCTATATATATAGAGTAATTTTATTGCCAAAATTAATTGTTTTTCCCATTCTTTGCAGGTGGAAGACCAAACAAACGAAACAGTTAGAGAGATTAATATATTTGACTTTAAAGATACGAAACCTTCATTTACTGTATTTGATATAACCAACTGTCTAATTAGCCAAGATCATTTGTTCTTATCCTTTTCAATTGAAAGTAAGTACGTTACACTGCTTGTGATTGTCATAAGTCTACCATTCCTTGTGCATTGCCTATGGTACTCCTGCAACAGGAGCTTCATAGGTAATACTGCATCGAGAACGGTAGAATTAGTGGAAGGCATGTGCTCTTGTGGCACACGCCTTCCACGAATAAAACACTTTATATATGCATTTATATATGTGTATCCAAATAAACGGTACCCATATAGATCATAATCTATAACCGACCGAGTGGTGAAGTGAACTCTTTGCCTGTGTAGACATTTGAATCACCTCGTGTATCTTTTTCTTCTAGAAAACTATGCAGAAATAGTAGAATCATACAACGAACAGAAATTTATAGCTGCAATCAGAAAATCAATTGCAGATTTTAGCCATATTGGATCCACAATTTTAGTCCAGGACATCGAGGTGAGTGTCCTAAACACCGTTTTTTCACCTTACAAAATTCTGATATTGCTGGTTTACGTTACAGATCTTTGAATCTAGAAAAAACGATAGAATTCGAGTCGATTTCTTACTCATGGATCAACCGAAACTTTATGGAAAGAGCAAGAAACAACCAGGAACTAGCTTAAACGTAGCATATAATAATCTTAAATCAGCGATAAACAGTGGATCGTTTATAATTTTAGTTGTTGTGGACGGTGTGACGGGTGTAAGTACGCATTTAAAGTTCAGATTATGTAGAAAAATCTCTTAAAATTTTATTAAAATCATTGTTTATAAATAGGCAGATACCATTAAAGCGATACCAAACAGTTTAGTTAAGCTGCTTCAACATTCTCAACCATTAGAGGAAAGTGCGCATTATAGTGGGATAGATCTTATAGATCCTTATGGCAGCGAAGAGCAAGAAGCCGAGCCAAAACCTACTAAGAAACATATAATAGACAAAATAAAGGATTTTATTTCCGTGAAGAGAGCAGGAGATGTAGAGACGAATAAAGATAAAACAGAATTTCCAGGATATTCATCAGGTGAGTGAAATTGGCACTTGCACACCAGGGCAGGCCTGGGTTCTTAAGTTAGTAAATTGGTGTTCGTCTATCTGCAGGGCTGCTAGCGGGTGTTGGAATAATAATGCTTGCCGTAGGCATTGCATTAGGCATTGGTTTAATGTATCTGTATTTGAAGAAGTACGGAAGAACACAGGATGGTAATTCTCTAGTGCTGCAAGAAAGATAGGCGCTGCGCGTTGTTATTTGTAGATTTACTTTTCCAAGCTCGTTGCGTGAATAAGAAAATCATCAGTTTTTTTATAATTGTCTTAATTATAAATGGTTAATTTTATTTATTAAAAATTTTTTGGCAATTAAAATGACATTTTTTAAATCGACATTTTCTTTATTCGTCTTATATTTACATATAAGGGAGGCAAAGATGGGAACGTTCCCACCTTTGCCCTCCTTAGTTACTTCACTGTTCCACCATTAGGGGAAGGGATGGCACTTATCCTATGACGTTACAAAGCATTAACCACAGGGGACTAAATAAACAGTGGTATAATCTTGTCCATTTTCTCGCCTAAGAGTAAAGTCAGAAAATTTGGAAGCCATGTTTTCGGGTAGTTCGGGAGACATACTTGGAATATCCGAGAATACCCGCCATTTTTAAATGTCTTCGTGTAGAAACAAGTAGGGAATGATCAAGAATCTTTAACGGAAAATCCGAGAAGAGCGAAATTCCGAAATCTATGCCATAAAAGAAAAGCTTAATGAGAAGACCAATTGCAAACAAACATGAAGTTGCGTTTGATCGAAGAGAAAACGCAGAAAAAGGAGAAGTGAAGCGAAAGAAAGGAAGAAAAAAGGGGGAAAAATCAGAATCTCGAACATGAAACGAAGTGTGTGTTGGTACCACTATGTCACAGTATATTGTGAATTGCTGCATAGTATATTACCTACAGTGAAGATTACATACAAGTTGCATCTATAAAGGATGGTCTCACGAAGTGTGCGCGAATCTCGAAACCGGACTCAATACGCGCCAGTAATTTGTTCAAAGCATTTTCAATAAAACGAAATATTTTTAAAGCTTTTTTAATGAAAAATCCCTTAAAACTGCATTCGTGAGAGGTATCTGGAGGTACCCCTCCAATTTTTCAGAATAAAGTTTAACGCAGATTGTAATTTACTAAAATGTAAATTTTCGACTATAAATTCGTATCTTCTATTATCAGGACTTATTATTGTTTATAGAATACACAGAAATACCTGCTGAGGAGGGACAAATATGTCCAAAACACAAAATTATGTGTGTCCAGGTATATGGAATAAAATAAAAATTGTTTTCTGTTAAACTTTGTAGCATTATCTGTAAAGCCAGTATAATAAGTCTTGATAATAGAAGATACGAATTTATAGTCGAAAATTTACATTTTAGTAAGAATAAAGGACATTGAGGCATTTTATTAAGCAGATTGTAATTTCTTTGGTTACGCACGTGATCTCCGGATGGCGTTAAAAAGGCAGCATATATTATTTATTAATTTAGCATAGCAAGAGGATGCATATACTTCCCAAGGAATTCCTAGATTCAAACTCCCTCTGATTTTTATTTTAAAAATTTCCAGAGCCACCACACTGCAAATTTCTTCGGAAATATGGAAATGTGTTTAAAATGAAATGACTTTATATATTCAGTATTTACTTTTTATTTTAAATAAGATTAATTGCTTAGAAAGGCTTCATATGTCTTATCTTCTGTACTAAACTAACGTGGAGTCGTGAGTGAGTCAGTGGCCAGTTTATAAAGCTTTGATTTGGCGTATATACTGTACTTGCTAGTGTATTAATAAAATACAATAGCAAGTACAGTACCTCAACAGAGAGTTTCTAATGGCCAACTTTCTTCGACCAATAAGACACAAGCGAAACTCGCAACCAATCAGAGAAAAGTAGCATTAGTTGCAACTATGTACTGTATTGTAAGAATTTGTAATTGAAACTTCAGTCCATAATTTGGTATACAGTGGTTTGGGGGAAAAATAAATTGGGATAAACGTAGAAAATACATTGAATTTAGACTGAAAATGCAGGGGAAAAAATAAATTTCGAGAGTAATACAGGTCAACTATATAGCAGTACAATAAGTTTATTCGATGCATTACACACTTGGAAATCCAAGTGACATTTTATACCTCGGGCATCGTTCTTTATCAAAATTATCAAAGGCCCACCTGTAGCCAAGCGTTCCCTAAACATCGGAAGTTCGGTCGTGGATTGCCATAACGTAATAATAAAACAAACAAACAAAATTATCAAAATCCCCTTAAACTGCAGTTATACGTTCCGCCACTTCATCCAAAACTTGTGTAAGCCGAGTGACTTATCGGAAACCTTTCTCAACAATATTAATTTCAGGATTATCAAACGAATGTAACATACCTTCTTGTGTAAAATATCCTTCTGTTCTCGCTGAGTTTGGCATTGAACCGGGACCATTTCGAGAGCTTGACCATCTCTGTTGGTTGAGAAGTCCGTCACTTTCCAGAAGATGACGTAACAGTAGTCGGTGGAAGATTTAATTTTTAAAAGTGTCACTTGTTAATATTAAATAAAATAAAAATTAAAAATTACCTGGTATACTAAGAATAAGAGATTTAGCCTCTCGAGAAAATGGCGTCATCAAAGGCGTAAAGAAGCGCCCCCCAATATAATTAAAACAATTAAATTGCTTGCGTGCGTGATATAGTACATTAGTACTGGTTTAGAATATAAAAATATATTAACGTTTTAATGTCAGAGAAAGTCATTTCACTTCTCTGTATGCTATTTTTAATATACAGATGCAGTCAGTCTGTTTGTTCACATGTTGAGAATAATACAATGTACTAAAAATCGTTGAACTCGAAATTTTTTTTGTGAGATGTGACGTTCCTTTTACAATCACACCATTATGTAAATTACCTAATATACACGAGAGGGTATTTGGCTAGTCACAATTAATCCTACCATTATAATGGACATTAAGCCAAAATTATATTGAGAATCACCCACACAGAACGGGTCTGGCTCGACCCCACTGAGATAGAACACAGAAAAAAGGTAGACGTAACGAGTTCAGTAATTTCCACGTTAGGTCAACACGTGTCTGACATCGCGCGTGTACCCGACCACCCGAAACCCTGAATCAACATAAAACTAGACAAGTGGATAAACATGGAGACACTTCCTGAATTCATTCATTCTTCATTAAAACGTAGTTTTAAAAATAATAATAAGAAATTTCATGAAAATTGTTTATGAAAAATAATGCTATTGTATATAACGTTTTCTAAGCAAAGAAATATATGACTAAAGTGTCTATTTCTGCGAAGGGTCCGAGTTCGAACCCGTTCTAGAACACCATAACTTATTACAGGAAATTTGGATGGAGCATCATTTCTCGTGCTTCAGGATTGAAGGAGAAGAAACCCCAATTCACATCACCATAAATATCATGGGCAATACATGATGAAATATCATTGCCCCATCAAGCAACCCCAATGAGGGTCGCGCCCTCCCATAAAGAGCCTAATTATGGCATCGTGTGACCTAAGACACGCTTTAATCAATCAGGCACTGCTTGGAAGAAAATTTCCTGTTCTCTAAAGGGAACCGAACCCACGTCACTCGTTATTCAGTACTGAATGGCATGGGTTCGGTTCGGTTCCCTTATCATGTTAAGAATTCGAGAGTGCTAAAGCGGTCTCAAATTCTCAAAATAGTATTTCACAGCGCGCTAAGAGATATGACGCCAAGGAATTCAAGATGGCGTCGAGACCATTTGAGAGGATGACAAAATTATTTTTTAAAGGACACAAAATTAAAAAATCCCAAAACGTTATGAAAATATAGAAATTCATCTGTATGAAAGTGCATTAACCTTTAAAAAAAACTTTTTTATTAATTAAAATAAAGCTGTTTAAATGAAGTTATCGCGTGATATGTTTAAAAAATATGTCAGTCACGGGCAAAAAACATTACGTCATTCACTATTCGATAGTTAATTGGCGGTTTTAACAGTGAAGTTTTGTATAAAAGGGGGCATAGAATTCACAGAGAGATATACTTTTTGGAAATTATCGGATTAAACATGAAAATAATCTTCCTGTTACTTCTCATCACCTTCGCTTTGGTGAAGTCTTCAGAAGAGGAAACTGACACCAAAACGGCTTCCGAAGAAAAAACTGATGAGGAAAATAAAGACGAGGCTTCAAATGAATCTGATAATGAGAAAAACGGCGAAGAAACTGAGAAAGAAAGATCTAAGGAGGATGAAAACTCTAGCAACACTCCATCTGAAGTTCCTAATGAAGAATCTGGTGGAGCAAAAGACGATACGGCCGATCAAGCAGCGGAATCAACTGGAGGAAATTCAGAATAAAGTATTTAAATGGTTGTTTTCGGCTTCGAATAGTAAAAGTGTAAGCAAAATTCTGGTAAATTATAACCATTAATACAATTTTGTAAACCTTGAAGTAATTCTCGTAATAAAGGTTTTTTTCGATATTTGAAAGGTACTGCTAGTTATCGTTACACTTCACTATATTAGAATAGCCATATTGGTTTTTAAACAACTCTTTCTGCCCTGTGGGCACTAAGAAGTCTTTTCTGCCCATTATGGATACGGCCAGGCCCACAATGGGGCAGCCAGGTGGTGAGAGATGGGGCCCGGCGTATCCGGACGGACCCCTCTCGAAAAATTCCTGGGGTTTTTCGACCTGTCCACATGCGATCCCGAATTTTCGAGGGGTGGTCCGTCTCTCACCACCCGGCCGCCCAATTGTGGGCGTGGCCGAACCCAAAATGGGCTTGCTAAAAGAGGCCTTCTTAGTGTCCACTGAGAGGAGAGTTAAAAAAAAGGGTATAGAGTACTACTATAAATTAAAGATATACTTTCAGATTTGTCGTCAGAAGAACAATTTGAGCTCCAAACACAGAGAGGGCCCAAAATTCAGTCTCAAATTGCAAAAATAATCGAAATTAATCAAATGGTGAATTTTTTCTTTTGTTCAGTTTATTTATATAGTACATTTCTAGCTCTTTCCACTCTGTAGGCACTGAGAGGACATTTTCTTCTACACCAATTCTGGATTCGGCCAGGCCCACAACGGCGGCAGATGGGTGGTGAGGGGCCTTATCCTAAAAAATTATAAGGTTTTTCGTTGGCATTCGGTTTATAATAATTAGAACAACTGGAAGCAAACTTTTGCATAAAAGTCTTTGTCTTCATATAGTCAGCCATTTTAAAATCATAATAAATAAATAAATAAGAATATTCATAAATTAGAAATGGACAAGGAGGCGAAACTATCAGAAAATTTGTCAATAAATTTTAAATATTA